CTTCACTTCACCAATCTTATTCTTCTTCCAATAATAATAACAACAATGAGTGGATGAACCAGAATCAATATCCGAAGTTCCTTCTTACGGCTGACACAACAACAGGTCCACCATAACTATGGCTTCCCCCCCTTCTTCCTCCTCTCACACACCTAGGCTATGGCGGACTACTAAGGGCTCTGCCCTCCTGTGCAAGGACAACGCAAAGCAGCTATGTCGCTGCACTCCTGTCCGAAGGACAACCCAAAGCAGCTATGCCGCTGCTGACTAAGCCGCCATGCCTACTCTGCCTCAAGCTTCGTTGGTGTGGCACTACCCCAACTGGGGCCTTCCAGATGCATCGCAAAACAAGGTGATGAAGATGGTGTCCACCATAGCCAGGTAGGTACCTCGCCACTCTCCTCCTTCGGCCCCTTCTTTCTCCTCCTTGGGCTGGGCTGCTCGCCATAGCCAGGCGGAGCGCCCAGCTGCTCTTCTCCTCCAGGCAGCTCTTCTCAAGTGCAGCGCTTGGGTCCAGCAGCATGTCGCCAATCCTTGCATACCGCAAATGAGGAGGAGCTGCTTGCTCCTCCTGAAGATATAGGGGCCTACTGGCCTCTTGGGCGGTGACTTCCTAGGCCGAGCGGCCTCCCAGCAACCGGTACCTCCTCCCTTTCGGAGGGAAACATCATTGCAGGCTCTGATATTGTCCGGACGTGCCCTAGACTGAGGTACTTGGACTCGTACCGGCCTACCTCTAACTTACCGCTATTGGGCGTCTAAAAATGTCAACTTTGTCTTCTTCTGCTCGGCATCCAATACCCGACACTTCTACCACTACTTGAGTGGTACCGGCCTACCTGCTACTTGAGTGTTTTCCCGCTGTTCTAAGTGTGGCGGGCCTACCCCCGCTACTTGAGTGTTTTCCCACGCTGCAATCCTCAAAGCCACGGCCACAGGTAAGTACCGGCCCTGCGGGGCCTTTCAACCAACAAGTACCCTTGCGGGTCACACACACACTCATGCCGACAAGCACTCAGACAGGCACGCGGATCAGCAGGCACGCACACACATACAGACTTAGAAATCACAGCAGAATGCAGGAATCTCAGCAAGGCATACATTCCAGCAGCAAATCCCAGAAATCAGCAGTGTTCTCAGTCTGTGTTTTGGCGGGTCATTACAATGTGCTCAACGAGAAAAGAAACATCCTGTAGTGCAAAAGAGCGAAACCTCATTTAATTTTGATTTCCAGTATAAAATTACTATAAATACAACCTGGCCTCTCCCACAGCATTTCAGGATTTGAGGTTACAGATCGTCAGAAAAGTTACCACAAGGATAACTGGCTTGTGGCAGGCAAGCGTTCATACCAACACTTCTATTTGATCCTTTGATATCAGTTCTTCCTACGATTGTGAAGCAAAATTCACGAAGTGTTGGATTGTTCATCCACCGACAAGGAACGTGAGCTGGCTGCAGACTGTTGTGAGACAAGTAAGTTTTACATACTAATGCAGCGTTGGTCCACTGTTACAGTCTGCGACTTCACACGGGCCTTCACAGGCCCGACATACGGTTTAGGGGTACCCAGGCCGGCCTTGCCAAAGGCCAGGCCTTTTTCCTCCCGGTAGGCCCTATTAGGCCACCGGTTGGGACTCAGCGCCAGCAGACCCAGGTCTGGCCCAAACGACAAACCGTTTGGGCCTGGCGGCGCTCTTGAGGCTGCCGCCCACCGGTCTGGGCTGAACGGTCATTTTGCCGGTTCAGCCCACGGCGCAGGAGGCCAGCATTGAGGCCGACCGGCCGCCGGACGGTACTTAGGCCAATCCAGCGGCCATTCCTGCAGGTTGGAACGAGGAGCAGCCAGGAGAACGCTGCGCTATTTGGTTGAGCACAGCGCTAGGGACTGCAGCGCTAGTTTAGCGCACTGCAGTCCAGGAGGAACGAGGAGGCGAGGAGGACTTACCTGCGACAGTGGAGCGCCATAGCTCCAGCAACCTGCATCCGGACTCCCGCCGCCGCCAAGACGCCAGCTTGCATTCTGCAGGTTTGGCCTGAGGCCCTCACCAGCTTCCCCTCTCCTCTCCTCTCCATCTTCTTCTCTCCTCTCCATCTTTTTCTCCTATTCATTCTTCTTCTTCAGACTTCTCCTTCTCTTCTTCAGACTTCTTCTTCTTCTTCAGACTTCTTCCTCTTCTTCTTCAGATTGGAAACTTGATACGAGTTGGACAGAGATCAGTGTTGGACTTCGGTGGTATGAGGCTGTGATACTTACCGGATTCGAGACTTGGAGATTGTTGGGATTGATACTCGGCGGCATCACAGATTGGACACCGGTTACGTTAGGACTCTGTACCTCCGACATTGGTGACTTCTTGTCCACGACATTTTGATCTTGTTCGATGACATTGTGGACTACCATATCGTACTGGATTCTATCTCGGTGACATCTGGCGCCGCCTACATCTCTTACCTCCTTCGTCTCTCCTCCCACCTTTCATCTGTGTATGGTTGTACGGGGCCTGAGCATCGTCTATGATTGGCTCAGACCCCACCATCTCACGATTGCTTGTGTGTTGAGTGATATCTGTATGAGTTCAGTCTATCTGAGTCAGTCCATTTATCAGACTACCGCTGCATACATGCTCATCCTATATTGGTTGATCTTTGGTTCTGCCCATACTTGTTGAAGTATTCACGAGTATGCAACATCCACACAATCGACAATTGTGCTTAGCTGGAAAGCCAATTGTGCGAAGCACCGTGCGTGGGACTATGAGTGAACAAAAGTCGTAATTTGTCAACACTTCTATTTGATCCTTTGATATCAGTTGTGAAGCAAAATTCACGAAGTGTTGGATTGTTCATCCACTGACAAGGAACATGACCTGGCTGCAGACTGTTGTGAGACAAGTTGGTTTTACATACTAATGCAGTGTTGGTTCACACAATCGACAATTGTGCTTAGCTGGAAAGCGAATTGTACGGAGCACCGTGCGTGGGACTATGAGTGAACAAAAGTCATAATTTATGCTCGCAGCCGACCTCCTTGGATAACACATGACTACTGATACGGCCAGCTTATCTGGCCCCAAAAGCATATAAGCTCAGAGTTGTCCCTCCTGTCTCAGAGCTACATCTCTTGAGCGTTCTCTTCATCTCAATTTCTTTGGTTGGGAGTCGAACCCTTTGCTGATGACTTGGACAGGGGCCATGGTGTTGTAAAGAGTGGCCTTCTTATCATGATTTGCTAAGATTCAGCCCCACATTCCAAGGACTTCCCCCACCCCTGTCCTCCTCACTCCTCCCAGAAAACCAAATGGTGGTCATGTGGCTCGGAAGAGAGACTTTGCCTCCATATGAGGGGCAAATCATATGGAGGCAAATCTTTCTTTTCCTTTCCAAGCTGCTACTTCGTTTGAAGGGGTTTCCACCTGCCTAGGTGAACTTCACCCTTTTTATCCCTCGAAGTCACCGTTGCTTATGTCATTTCCATACATGTCTTGAGCAAAACAAGGACTTCACTCCCTCTAGGCTTGGAATGTTGGCCTTTGGTGCATGCTCCCTTTCGAGCACAAGAAACATATTGTATGCATGCAATCTCTCGGGGAGAAGCAGCACACATTCTTACCTTGGGTGGAAACAACACACAATCTTACCTTCGTGCACTGCAAGACAACGCTGCGCACCTTGTTGTCCCAGACAGAGACAGAACATTGTCTTGCCTTCAGGGAAAGCACCACACGCACCTTGTTGTCCCAGACAGAGACAGAACATTGTCTTGCCTTCAGGGAAAGCACCACACCACCTTGAATAGCCTTGGGCAGAAGCGTCACACCAATGTGTATCACTGTATGCAAGACATGATCTTCCCTGTAGCAGAATCAGCAGAACTGTCGTGGTGCAGTGTTGTGATGGAGCATGTGGCCTTGCCTGTGGCAAAATCAGCACACCAATATGTGTGCATGTTCTGCAGCACATCGTGCTGCCTTCGGCAAAAGCAGGACACTGTCTTGCCTTGGGCAGACGCAGCACAATTTTGCCTTGGGAAGAGGCAGCCTGTGGCAAAATCAGCACATAAATATGTGTGCATGTTCTGCAGCACATCACGCTGTCTTTGGCAAAAGCAGCACACTGTCTTGCCTTGGGCAGACACAGCTGAATCCTGCCTTGGGAATTGGCAGCAGACCAAGGACCCATTTGGCACTGCAGCACACCAACGAAACAACTGAACAAGGTGCCTTGCAAATTAGCACGCTGCTTTGCCTCCTCTAGAATGAGCACATTGTGTTTGCACCTCTTTCGGGTGGTCACCCTTTCACTCTAGTGTGTAAACTTGCATTATATTTGCTGTTCCAATTTCAACCGCCCACCTGCTTGTGCTCACCAGAGTGCCAATACCCTTAGTCAGCCTCGATTGCATATGTCCTTACAGCTACAATAAGCTCGACATATGTCCTTACGGCTACAATAAGCTCGACATATGTCCATACTTGCTTCGCACTGGGATGACTCACACCCACAGGTGACGCCGAGTTTGCTCTCTTTCTTTTCTTTTCTTTTTGTTTCTCACCAAAGACAACGACCCATATTAGTGGAGATCGTTCGATTCAAACTTTTAGGCAGAAGCAGCACAGTGTCTCTGCAGCCTTTTTGACGAACTGTCATGGCGTGTGTTTTCGTGGGGGATAGGGCCTCCGCAGTCAAACTGCGGCGAGTCATATCAAGAAAGTACGCTGTAAGTGCAGAATTGCAAGAGCCAAAAACCACAAGATGCCATTCCGAGAGACACCATTCCATGAAACCAAACCCAACATCAAGCACTCATACAAACCCAAATGAAACCATAAGCTCCTTCAAATCGTAAAGAGCAGGAACGCCTGATGGATGGATTCTTCACCCATATAAACCGAAATGAAACCAGAAGTTCTTCTGAGTCAGAAAGAGCAGGGACGCCTGATGAAAGGCTATAATGGATGGATTCTTCAACCAAAGTGAGGAAGGATAGGCTAGGGAGAGCGAAGGGGAGGCAAGTCAAAGCGTATGAGAGAAAAGATCATTTAATCCAGCCTTAGGAATCGGAGGATAGGACGAGAGAAGAGCATCAATAGCAAACACCCATGCGCAAGACAAATAATGCCAGGGTTAGGAGCACGCAGAAAGAACTAATATGCTAAGTTGCTAACAAAGTAAAAAAGAATAGAGAAGGGTGACAAGTTAAGGACGGAAAACTTGAGCAACTGCCGGAGTTCTGCATAGGATTCCTCAGTGAGCAGTTCAAAAATTGCATCACAACAGCACCACTACGAACAGTGCACGCAGGTTTTGGAGCGATTATGGTCGGGCCACCACCTACCGTCAACAAAACAAATGGACACTTTACGAAGACCTTTTAAGCTTAAACCAATCGAACACTAATCATTACAGGGTAAAGTAGCGCTAAGCAAGGCCATCAAATCACGATCAGCACCATACAGAATAACCACACAGTTCTTATCGACCGTTTAACCAATCAACAACCACTTCCTCGACACAAAAAGTAGTGCTACGTGACACCATCACATTCTGGAGATGGAATGCACATGTGATCAATCGGGAGACTAAGAAGGCATGTTAGGTGGAACATAAGGGGCGGACGCAAGCTACTATTAGCAATAAGCAAAGGTCGAGAGGAAAGGCATGATTGCAGAGAAGCAAATAGAAAGACAATGTGATGAGAAGGCGAGCAGTGAATCCAAGGGTACGACCTGGAGCACCATGATCACCATCATCATAAGCAATAAAGAGGTCATGTAAACCTCTTTAGCAATTGAAGATCATTCTCCAACATATAACACAACTATAGGCAAGGTCACACATACTCGAAGAGCAAAACCACGTAGGAGCATCCGGAGAAGCATTCTGGGGGGACAACAATTTGAGCTATTGGTGGAAGACTGGGCAAAGGGCGGGTGGGGAGGAGCAAGAATGCATGGACTCCATGAACATAAGGTCAGAAGGAAAAGCCAAGAAGGCAGAAAATGCAGCAACCACACAGGGAAGGGCGAGCCCTGAAAAATCTTTGATGCAAGGTGATAGTAACAAACTCCAGGCACTTCCAGCAAGAAATCTTGAGCTTACTTCAGCGGAGACTTGGAGAGAAACTCCTAGAGCCACACTCAACAAACAAAGGCACAATCATTGCAGCATATACATCGTCATCCATCAAGAAAGGACGGATTTCGTAAATCAGCACATCTATGATAGAAAGAGATATAAGTGAAATGTTCCTGTTCACTAAAATAACCCCAGTAGCATCGACGAATGGAAGGAGGGGGCAGTGGAGACTCCCTAAACCACCTTTCTACCTCGTCAGAGGGCACAAGGAACCTGCTCATTCGCTCACAAGGGGATGACAGATGAATTGATCACAGTAAGGGAGGAAGGATGGGATAACAATGAGAAATAAAGAGTCAAATACCTTAACCGTTCTATTGTCAACAATCAATGATGAAGAGCAATCCACGTCGTGAGATGATCCCAGTAGATGATCGACTTTTTGTGCGACGTAGAAGCAGCTTAAGCAACGAGGAGGAAGATGGCAAGAGAAGGAGAAAAAGAGGAAGATGGCAAGAGAAGGAGAAAAAGAGGAAGAGACTGATAAAGAAAACAG